CAGGGGGGGGGGGGTTATGCCCCCCAAACCCCCCCCCCCCCCCCCCCTTGGGCACACCACTGCGCTGGAACTTCCCCTCATCTTAAACTCGGATGGGGTGGATAGAAACGGATTGCGGCGAGGAAGAATGCGAATACGGCATCTCCATGGGATACTTTCTTCCCATCCTTTAGCGAACCGTTATCGTCTAGTAGGGTAACGTGAACACGGGCCTCAGTTCGCAAAAAAAGTGTTGCACGACTTTCGGAGGGAAATACTGCACGCTCATCGCAAAAAAAGAAATACTACAAAGGAATTAAGCTATATTCATGCAATTTAGTAGAGGTACGGGTAACGGGAATTAAAATAGATTGAGGTTTCAGCTTCGTTGGATGACTTTCCCGGAACACCCGTCAAACATCCTTGTACAGAGGAGCCCACCCACGATGGTAGATCTTCCTGGGTGCGGAATTGAAAACATCTGCCATCTACCATCCTAATATTAGGAAGTCTGAAATGACCACACCTACGAAGATCTTACCACTCGTTCTATGAGATCTTTTCCATAGAAAGAGCAAAACTCCCTGTCCCAAAGCGTCGTAAGAGACGAGAACAATTTTGGATGGGTATACTGGAAACCGATCGACTCATGAATGGTTCTTTCTTTCTTTTTCCCTTTTTTCCTCTCTCCTTGATCGTCATATAATTTAGTTTCGATTCATTATTCGCTGCTCTATGGAGAAACTCATTTTACCATCGACGTCGATCTCTTTGACGAGGTCGCCCAGTTCCCGGGAGTCGAATTGCTCACGGGCCTCAGTTCGCAAAAAAAGTGTTGCACGACTTTCGGAGGGAAATACTGCACGCTCATCGCAAAAAAAGAAATACTACAAAGGAATTAAGCTATATTCATGCAATTTAGTAGAGGTACGGGTTAACGGGAATTAAAATAGATTGAGGTTTCAGCTTCGTTTGGATGACTTTCCCCGGAACGCCCGTCAAACATCCTAATACAGAGGAGCCCACCCACGATGGTAGATCTTCCTGGGTGCGGAATTGAAAACATCTGCCATCTACCATCCTAATATTAGGAAGTCTGAAATGACCACACCGAAGATCTTACCACTCGTTTTATGAGATCTTTTCCATAGAAAGAGCAAAACTCCCTGTCCCAACGCGTCGTAAGAGACGAGAACAATTTTGGATGGGTAAACTGGAAACCGACCGACTCATGAATGGTTCTTTCTTTTTCCCTTTCTTCCTCTCTCCTTGATCGTCATATAATTTAGTTTCGATTCATTATTCGCTGCTCTATGGAGAAACTCATTTTACCATCGACGTCGATCTCTTTGACGAGGTCGCCCAGTTCCCGGGAGTCGAATTGCAGGCCCATCATGCTTAATATGTGCCCCACCATGGAACCCGTGATGTAACCCTTCTTCTCCCGATCGAAGTTATCGAAGCACTTCTTCAGCACTGGAAGTAAAATTGGAAGAAAAATAATTAGAGACGTCCGAGTCGAGGAACCTGCCATCTGCGCACCCGTGAAGACTCGGCGAAGACTCACTGCTGATTTGCTCCTTGCTCATGTCTTCCTGAAGGCAAATGCAGCCGAATTTCCGTAGATGCATATATCGAATTCACTGGGGTAGAGATTTGGAGTAAGGAATGTTTCTAGCACTTACCATTCCGACGATCGTGTCGTTCTTCACGAGAGCTTCGAGACCGAATGCGATAGTTGTGGTGTCGGTGGATGTGAGCCTGCATACTTTTAAGGACCCTATCGGATTTCCCTCCTCGCATGACCCCGATATTTTCGCGGCCGACTCATACGTATCTTAGTTGTTGTCTCGCGTTTTACCAAATCAATCACGGAGGGGATTCGCCACGATATGCAAGATGCGGACCGTGGAGCATCGAGCGATGAAAGAGGATTCCATCGTGAAATGGTAGCCGCGTCATACGCATTCATACATTTCATAGATGCGATGCTTCATCGCGAGACTGACGTACTGGCGTTCTCGCAAAGCCTGACAATGGACACGCAATCAAATCTCAGGCTGTCTCTCTCTTATACAGTAGTTACAGGGTGTCCCAACCCATTCGCCACAAAAGTAAAAACTAATTCTGAGATGAATCGTGAAGGGCGGAAGAAGAAAATGCTTACTTTATCTGCGCTGTGTCCAGTGCCTGATGCGTTCACCATTCATTTCGGCTACCGCAACAGTCGAATATGAAGTGAAGTTTGTAACAATCTCATTGAGAGTTCATGGTGACGATCTCCAAGGCAGCT